TTTGGGTTTGGTTTCATGTTTCTTTGGAAGATCTGTGTCAATGAACACCAGGTTTTGGATTCATAGGCTACTGTCACACTTCTCCGGAGAGCACCAGCCTTCTCTGCCGTGCTGTCCGGGGGCCCCCCGCCAGTGCCTCCAGCCCCACCGCTCCCACCTCGCATTCCGGCTGCGCTCCGCCGGGATCCTCGGGGCTTGCTCTGCTGCTTTTAAGGGACCCAGCAGCAGGGGAAAGCTGCTAGCTTTAGCCTTGTAAGGAAGATGAAATAAGCGGGAGGTGGGGCTACTAGAGCCGGAGAGCAGCACTTTCTCCTCCCCTTGCTTTCTCTCTTAAGGAGGTTCTCCCTCGTTCTGCTGCCAGCCTGCAGGGACCTCGCTCAAGGACCAGTCTTTGGGGTAAGGGCAGGAGCAGAATTTCTGGGCCGGGTTTCCCCATGTAACAGACAGGGTTGGATGCACTGATGAAATAGGAATATCTCCCGTGGCCGCTTTTGCCGGGTGGATGCTGGCCAGGCATTTTCAGACGGCAGCCGAGCTGGGGAACTGCAGCAGGTCGTACTTCAACGGTGGGCTAGTCATGCCAGTTCAGTCCCAGGGGATGGAGGGGATAAACAGAGCGCTACACCTCGGGGCTAAAGCGAGTGGGACTTGCATTCCCCCAAACTATGCGTACACTGGTTAAAAAAGAATGAAGTGTGTTTGCCGATAGGATGTCCAGGATGAACTGGAACATGCCCGTTTCATCTCAGTGTGTTAAGAAAACTAACATATAAAGTTTAAGGAAAACGTTTCGATTAGTTCCGACATACTTAGAAATTAATTTCAATATCAACTTCTTGTTGCAACAGTATCATAGTGATGACACAATGCTCAACTTTTTTTCCATGTCTGTGCAATACCATTTCAACTCAGAGCACATACAAGTGTTGGCTTTTTGCATTATGATTTGAAACAAAAGAAGCTTCAGAAATAGAAGCTTCCTGCAGACAAGAAGTTGTACCATCTCAAACACAAATTCTCCTCAACAAATAACAATTTGTATTTGGTGTGTTCAAAAGACAGCCTTTCCAAAAGGAGGTCAGAAGCAAGAGGTTGCCATTTGAGGTAAGTACACCTCGCCAAGGTGCTGATCGCAAAAAAACCCCAAGTACAACCCCCCCCACTGCCAGTCTCAAAATCGAGCGACAAAAAGAAACAAACGAATTGCATGTAAAAGCCTTATTATATGATGTATCAGATAGTCTGGCCAGCATGAACGCACAGCTCATGCACAGGCTCAAAACAGAGCATGTGTTTTGGTCTGCCATGAACTGGATTGCTTTGCTGTGTTGGGAAGGGGGCTGCAGTAAAGCCCGTTCTCCCTCCAGCGACAGATCCTCTTTCTGAGCCAGCTTCTCTGGAGATATTCAAGATCCGCCTGGACAAGGTCCTCTACAACCTACTGTAGGTGACCCTGCTTCGGCAGGAGGGTTGGACTAGATGACCCACAGAGGTCCCGTCCAACCCCTACCATTCTGTGATTCTTCTGAGCAAGGAGCAGGGTTAAGGAGAGGTATGTGTATGCAGCAGTAGTCAGCTGGGGACCCCTGGCCTAGCTTGATACGATCATGTTAAGATGGCAATAGTGGCTGTGCATCTCCAGCACCAAAAGTATTTGCTCAAAGATTTTCTCAGAAATTTTTGTCCGCTAGCCTTCCTCAAATTTTAATACAAGTCACCATAGACAGAGGCCCATCCTACAGAAGATGAAATGAAGACTGCAGAGATCCTGTGCTACTGCCCATCCCTAGCCCACCCCTTCTCTGCAGAGTGGGCATGATGGTCTCAGGGAAAATCATATTTTTGTCTTTGCAGATCTGATGGCTGAAAAATCATTAAAAATTACATCTTGCTTCCTGCAGCAGCTGACAGCTTGAAACAGTAGCCCTATTTAAACTGTCTCTATTCAGTAGAGCTCTGAAAACGAAGATGAATGCTTAAATATCAGTATTGCTTAACTAATGATGTTTCCCAGAACTCTGGCAAATATGCAAGTGCCACAGTGCCTCCCAGCTTTCTGCGGGTGCCAAACCCATCCCACGTGTTCCCTGCCCGACAGCACCCCCTCAACTTCCACCCTGCAGCAAAGACAGAAAAACTAGAAACATGACGACTGTGCATAATAAACCAAACTTTGTATTTAAAAAGATCCAAAATCACAACAACAGTGCATGGTATTCTACCTATATTATATACACACTAAAAATGCAGCTTCACACTGAAAGATACCTCTGTAAGTAAAAAAAAAAAATATATAGATGAAACCATGGCATATAGCGCTCAGCTGACCACAAAAGAATAGGCTGTTACCATCCAAGCAGCTACCAGTGTAATTCAAGCCCCCTTTTCCTTACTATGTTTGGGCTACAACACTTAGCATTTACATCTACACTGGCAAAACCCTTGTGGCAACAGAGTATCATGAAGCAGTGCAGAAACAGCTCATATCACCCAAAACCAGTGCTCCCAGTGTAGCTATTACTGGCATGACAGTGTTCTGGCTGGAACAACAGGATCCACACCACAGCTCCTGCCTCTCTCCAATGGGGTGACCAAAAGAGCTCAGAGCATTCAGTTAGAAAAGCCAGGGGACCACAGAGATATGACTACATTTTATAAGCACACCAAGTAGAACCAAGCCCCAGAGAAACCACACCGGTGAGAATACAACAATAGTGTAAATGAGGACAGCTTATGCTCAATAGTAAAAAGTTAAACCATTGCAGAAGTTAAGTCTCTGAAAGGGCCTTTTAACAGTTGCCGTGGAAGCAAAATAGCTAGGTGATGGTGAGCACACTAAGCTTATGAAAGGGTCTGCACAATACGGTTTCCTGCAATAGCAGGAGAATAACCCCGAGTGCCCTAGGTGGTCATTTCCATCTTTGTGTTCACACAGCCTGGTTTCTGTCAGAGGTATTGTGTTGTTTCACCTCATGGTGCCAATCCCAGCCGCTTCACACAGCCTACAACAATTCCATCAGAAACTACACACTGTAACACATAGGTCTGATGTGCTAGAACACCTGCAGAGTAAGTGCTCGGAGAAGCAGAGGGATGCCAGAGGCACACAGTTAACAGCCAGGGAGCCTGGGGAACAAACCTGCCTGCTACAAGAGGTTTCCCTTCAGAGAGAAGGTGCTCTGGTAAAACACTGGCGCTGTAAGCAGACCAAAGCCTTCTACCAAACCGTTCCTCCTTCTGCATTATCTCGGCCAGTTTTAACATACCATCTTCTCCCCACTGCCTCTTCCCGCCCGATTTTTGCAGCACAACTTCAATTCTGTGTTTGTGAAGTTATCGCATACCACTGTGAAATCACCTACAATGCCAGGCTTTAGGTTGCAAGTCCATACAGGAGGATCAGGAAGGCTGGAAGAAGCACTTGTTTTTATACAGAAATATTTTGCCAGCTGCAACAGAAAAACAATACATGGAAGTAGCAGCTTAATGGGACCCAAGCAAAACACTGAAGTTTTTTGAACCTTCCTCTCATTTCTTAAGGGCTTGATTCAAACCTCCTGAACGCCAAGCAGTTATTTATATTACTTGCATGATGAGATCACCCTGGAGCAGGATTTTGCAGTGCCAAGTGTCACCTGCCAGACCGAAGAGGATGCGTCACAGTGAACTGGTCTTCCACAGCCTTTAGACTGTTCTCCTTCATGAGGATGCAGGTCTAGTGACTTAAATGCATAAAGTTGAGCAACCAATCCATTACTTAGGTTCCTGACATAGGTTAACACTGATACTGAGTGTTTTCTTCTCTTAAGCTGATGCTGTGCTTACTACCACTGTTTGTAGACACAGCTTCCTTGTTATATGTATGTTTTGACATAGGCAGAGAAAAGATAGGGTGTATTCCAGAACTGATGTACAAACACACTGAAGAGGA